TTTTGGGGGGGGGGGGAACTATTAGTAGTAGTGGGATCAGAACAAATGTTTAATTTATCTCTGTTTACAAGTCATATAATTAAAATTTGTGAATATCAAAGAATTATTAACGCAACACTTTATAATACAAAAACAAATTGATGATAAGAGGTTTTTATATGTAGTAATTGTAATATCGATTTGATTTTTATTAGAGTCATAATTATGACTCACAATAGATGAATCATTAAAATAATTATAACAATTATGTATCTGGACACAAACCATTTTTGCGTTTATTACTTATTAGTTCCTAGAGTTTTCATATATGTAGTGTAATAATAAACACGACTTCCATTATAATTATGTTACCAGTGACATATGACATATACACCTCAGCATCTTCATTTCTCTGATATTTTAAAATTGTTTTTATATTTGAATTACTTTAGTTATCTTTGAACTTTTTTCAGATAAATTAAATAAATGTAGCGTGTGGTCAAAGTGTAAATTAATCATTAAAATAACATGAAAATGACATGGAAATGTGGCAGTATCAAGATAGTATTTAAACAAATAAAAACTCATATTTTTAGATATTTCTAATAAGACGGTGCGCTACGTTCTTATTATAAAATCTAAACCATTTTGGCTTTTGACTTTGATCGTAATGTTTATGTATTAATAATAAACTAAAATCAAACATAACATGACACACTTGTAAAAGCTGATAACCGAGACCTTATTTCAAATCCTTGGGGTAAACCCCACACATTTACATTTAGGCAATTAAGAGTAAGACCTAATATGAAACCCGAAGGTTGAGGTTGTATTTTATTACGAACAAGTGTGACCCTCAGTAAATTGTCTTTGGGTGATGCATATCCATTATCCATAGACAAACGTTTTTAACAAGTATTCAATTTACTGCCGATTTGAGCTTTTTATACTGTTTTACAGTAATGTCAATTACACATACACATGACTTTTTTATTGGACTGCAAATTTTATTCCATATACACCTGGTTCTGCTCAAGTTTTGAAGCTGACGACTGCTGTTTTAATTTTATTTATATTAATAATAAATGAATGTAAGTGCGTGCTCCAATTTCACCATGCCTCCTGCTGATAGGTAGAGGACCAATCTTTGTTTTTGAATTTATTTTATTATTATTTATTACTTTAGATGTTATGTGGAACATGGTGTAATGGTTGCAGCTCCTTACAAACGCTGTGTAAAAAAACTTGGCGATTAAAAAAGAGTGGCGTAGAGTTAACGCCTAGTAGTTAGATTAACAAAGTAGTAACAACATATTTTTATTATTTTGCCATACTTTAATACAACTACTAGATTACAGTCGCTATTAAATGAGGGTCTTAATCTTCTTTTACATTGTAAAGGCACAGAACATACTTGATACTGACGATCCTCTATCACCCTTCCTTTTGGCAATCCACTTTACCCGCTGCAGGATATGGTATACTGAATCGATTCTGGCATCCCTTTAAATGATGTTAAACTAAATTGTGCCTATATTAAAAAAATATAAGAGTTGCTTTAGTTAGTATTAGTATAGTTAATTATCGAGGAATCATGTATTTTTCTTGGTGAAATAGGCCTAAGATATTGCGCCACCAAATAATATAAGAACAATTTTGCGATCACTTATTTGGATCTAATTGCATTAGCGAAGGTAAGACAATAACATATGACGGGCAGACAAAAGAATTGCATTTTGTATAGCTACTGGAACAAGGCGATATCAGTATGATTATCAAATTAATTAGACCTTGCGGTTAAGGTCATGATATTCTACAATTTGTAGATAAAGAAGAATTGGTAAGTCATATCCGCAACCATATACAATGTGTAGCGGACATATTTGTGTTGGATTTTTATAACATCATAGGTAAATAAATAAATTGTTCGTCCAATAGCGGTATAGATACATCCAACTTTAATTATTATTGATAGGATTCCTGTGAAAAAATACCTGTTTCAATGAAAGGAATTTAATAAATTCAATATAAGAAAAGTTACGGGAACTAGTAAATACTATTTGTATGTATTACGTACCGAATATTTTTTCGATAACATTGATGTTTTAAACCAATTTAAGTATATTGGATAAACCTAATGAAAATTATGATTTGTTAGATAAGATTATTTTATAAGTGCAATTGATTATAAAAAGATTAAATTAATTAAAGTCCAAAAGAATCCAAAAATATAACATATGCAAGCGATGATTATTCTCTCTTATTGTAGCGAGCATTATCCTATGTGAATTGTATGGATGTAATCTTTATAATGAAGAGCAGTGTTGGCCCAGTGGCTGCAACGTGCGAATCTCTTCTCTAAGGTCGTAGGTTCGATCCCCAGCTGTGCACCAATGGACTCTCTTTCTATGTGCTCCATTAACTTTCGCTCGAACGCTTAAGGAAAACATCGTGAGGAAACCTGCTAGCCTTAAACCCAAAGTCGATGGTGAGTGTCAGGTACAGGAGGCTGATCACTTGCCTATAAGATTGAAAAATGATCATGAAACTGATACTTACTGAAATCTGAGGCTCAGACCTGATAAGGTTGTAGCGCCACAGATATTTTTTTATATAATGCGGATAGAGAAAAAATATCGAGTGCGATAGAGGTATTTTTAGTATTTTAATGTTCTCGATTTTAATCGATCTCACGTTGTTATTTATTGCATTTAGATATTGTAAGTTTTCTAGCAAAATTATTAATTATAAATTATTTTTATCACTTATTAATTTGATATCATATAAACTAACCCCGAACGCTAACTAACCCTAAATACATATGTAGTATATTTAAAATTTTTAACGTATCTACAGTCAAATATGCTGACAAATTTTCGTGAATCGATTATGATGAATTTGGGTTAGTTATAGAGTAATTTCACTGCCTATAATAATTAAATTACATTTACTCATTCTATTCATACAGCGCCCAGCGGTATTTTATATGAAACTGTCCCCGAGCATGATATCATCATCACTGCTGTACTGCCCCATATGGGACTTTCGCCATCGCAGTCGCAATACTCCCAACTTCGAACACCTATTGTTTCGAGGTCCTTGACAACTGCATCCCACCAACGCAGCCTCGGCCGTTTTTCTTCAGGTTGAAAGTTCAGTAAGGACTTTGGTTCTCTCGTCCGCCATTTGGTGCAAATGTTCCAACCACTTGAACCTGTTGCATGTTATATTGGACGGACAACAGTCTTCGTTCCGCAGAGAAAAGTGAGTTATAGTCTAAAACATTTTAAGTTCGTTTACAGATCCGCTCAGCCTTGCGATTCTGTAACTCACTTTTCGAACTCACACAGCGGTTTTCACAGCGGCGGTCAGAATCCCACGGCTGATAGCAGATATTCATAAAACCTCACTGCGGGGTTTTTTTAATTAGTTACATACAGAAGCCGAGTTTAAATGTTCTTTGTTGGGTTATCAAAATAGTTTCTGCCACTGTATTCCACGTTTAGTATCGTATAGATAAGAACTGATATTATTTGATATCAGTTCATATCATAGAAATGTTCTACAATTTTCTAGAATTATCGTAGGGACAAATTTTTGGGAAAAACATCACGATGGGAAGCTTTACGAAAGCGTCAAATGTTCGTTTACAGAAATAATAAGTTCAATTTTTGACCGCGCATTATCGCTATATTCGTAAGTTTGCCTTAGGACACACTATAGTATATTAGTGCAACAATAATATATATATATATATTATGCATATATTATTGTTGCACTAAAAGTATTAAATAACAAAATTTCGCATATTGATTGGTCTTGAGAGTCATAAACGATGTGTATGTGGTATAAATGTATATTAAACGATAATTTATTTATTTAATTATTTAATCTATAACCGTCTCATTTATCACAAAGGTTAATAAAGTTATAAGAGATTAAATACGACGCGGCGGAGTGAGTTCTACTTTCTGCCCCGCACCACTCATTGTGGAACCAGATGCCAGTAGACGTAATCCGATCCGATACTACATAGGGGACTTCAAAAAAGGGTGTACCATTTCCTGAACTGTCGAACTGATAATCTCTTACTTAGTTTTTTTTTATCTTGAATGATGTTATTTCTGTACTCTCCATACAAACTGTCAAATTCTTTGTAAAGAATTACAGGTATTATTTATTGAGTTTTTTACCGATGATGAGCTGTGTTGGCCTACTGGCTTCAGCGCGCGACTCTCGTCCCTGAGGTCGTAGGTTCGATCCCCGGCTGTGCACCAATAGCGCATTTAACATTCGCTTCAACGGTGAAGGAAAACATCGAGAGGAAACCGATATGTTTTAGACCTAAAATGTCAACGGCGTGTGTCAGGCACAGGAGGCTGATCACCTACTAGTCTATTAGATTGAAAATAATGAACAGATTCATGATCATTTTTTTCAACACTAGCGCAATTTTTTTACCGATGTTATGATAAAACGATTCAAACAGGATAGATGAAGAATAAAACGTGTCGCGATCTTTCATAGATTTAAAGCAAAAGCAGTCAAGGGTCATTCTAATTTAATATTATTCCGAGTAAAAGAATTATGATTTTACAGTAATGTGTATTTTTTCACTACTGTTAATATAATTAAACAAATAGTTTTTATTATGTAACATTATTGTACTTAAAATCTAACTGAATGTTGAATTACAAAATAATTTTTACTATATAATAATACATGTTATATTTCCAATCTGTATTTTATCTTTATCACGTTTAAATGTATTACAAAATAGGCTTATTATTAGTATATAGTAATACATGTGTATGAAATAAGTTACACGTAAATATAAAATATATACACAGGTACTAAGGTATTTTCACGCGTTGTGTGACGCGTATATGGCATGATAATAATTGCGTAATTACGGGCCAATTACTACCCTAAACCTATAAATTATAGGCAAATCACAATTGTACTTATAAAAAATTTATTAAAACTAAATAAGATCTTGTTACCTTCTGATTATAAATTATTTACGCTAAATAGGGCAATATCGATGGGTTACCAATTCTCTCAACTCGTGGTATAACCATTGATCTTGGTAAATCATCAAATTCTGGCAATATTACGATGTTCTTATTTCGACCTCTTTTCACACCTAAATAGAAGCAAATACTTGAAACAAGTAAAAAAAATATTAAAGTTATTAATACCACCATTGTTATTGTGAAGGGGTTCCAAAAGCTGTAGGGATCTGCCAATACTGGACTTGTCGTTGGGTCTGTTGGCTCCAATGTGCTAGTATCATCATTTGTGGACAGTGTGTCTGGTGTTGAGGAAATTACTTCAGGTGTAGATGGTGTGTCTTTTGGTGTTGAAGGGGTATCATCAGGTGTAGATGGTGTGTCTTCTGGTGTTGAAGGGGTATCTTCAGGTGTGGACGGTGTGTCTTCTGGTGTTGAATGGGTTGAACGGTGTGTCTTCTCGTGTTGAAGGCGTATTTTCTGGTGTGGATGGTGTGTCTTCTGGTGTTGAAGGGGTATTTTCCGGTGTGGACGGTGTGTCATGTGGTCTTGAAGAGGTATTTTCCGGTGTAGATGGTGTGTCTTCTGGTGTTGAAGGTGTATTTTCAGGCGTTGAAGGGGTGTCTTCAGGGGTGGACGGTGTGTCTTCTGGTGTTGAAGGCGTATTTTCTGGTGTGGATGGTGTGTCTTCTGGTGTTGAAGGGGTATCTTCAGGTGTGGACGGTGTGTCTTCTGGTGTTGAAGGGATATTTTCCGGTGTAGATGGTGTGTCTTCTGGTGTTGAAGGGGTATTTTCAAGTGTTGAAGGGGTGTCTTCAGGGGTGGACGGTGTGTCTTCTGGTGTTGAAGGCGTATCATCAGGTGTAGATGGTGTGTCTTCTGGTGTTGAGGGGATTACTTCAGGTGTGGACGGTGTGTCTTCTGGTGTTGAAGGCGTATTTTCTGGTGTTGAAGGGGTATTTTCAGGTGTTGAAGGGTTGTCTTCAGGGGTGGACGGTGTATTTTCAGGCGTTGAAGGCGTGTCTTCTGGGGTGGATGGTGTGTCTTCTGGTGTTGAAGGCGTTTTTGGTTGAAGGGTATTTTCCGGGTAGATGGTGTATCTTCTGGTGTTGAAGGGGTGTCTTCAGGTGTAGACGGTGTGTCTTCTGGTGTTGATGGCGTATTTTCTGGTGTGGATGGTGTGTCTTCTGGTGTTGAAGGGGTATCTTCAGGTGTGGACGGTGTGTCTTCTGGTGTTGAAGGCGTATTTTCTGGTGTGGAAGGTGTGTCTTCTGGTGTTGAAGGGGTATCTTCAGGTGTGGACGGTGTGTCTTCTGGTGTTGAAGGGATATTTTCCGGTGTAGATGGTGTGTCTTCTGGTGTTGAAGGTGTATTTTCAGGCGTTGAAGGGGTGTCTTCAGGGGTGGACGGTGTGTCTTCTGGTGTTGAAGGCGTATTTTCTGGTGTGGATGGTGTGTCTTCTGGTGTTGAAGGGGTATCTTCAGGTGTGGACGGTGTGTCTTCTGGTGTTGAAGGGATACGGTAGTGTATGTCTTCTGGTGTTGAAGGGGTGTCTTCAGGGGTGGACGGTGTGTCTTCTGGTGTTGAAGGCGTATTTTCCGGTGTAGATGGTGTGTCTTCTGGTGTTGAAGGGGTATCTTCAGGTGTGGACGGTGTGTCTTCTGTTGTTGAAGGGGTATTTTCAGGTGTAGATGGTGTGTTTTCTGGTGTTGAAGGGGTATCTTCAGGTGTGGACGGTGTGTCTTCTGGTGTTGAAGGGGTATCTTCAGGTGTGGACGGTGTGTCTTCTGGTGTTGAAGGCGTATTTTCTGGTGTGGATGGTGTGTCTTCTGGTGTTGAAGGGGTATCTTCAGGTGTGGACGGTGTGTCTTCTGGTGTTGAAGGGGTATTTTCCGGTGTAGATGGTGTGTCTTCTGGTGTTGAAGGGGTATCTTCAGGTGTGGACGGTGTGTCTTCTGGTGTTGAAGGGATATTTTCCGGTGTAGATGGTGTGTCTTCTGGTGTTGAAGGGGTATTTTCAAGTGTTGAAGGGGTGTCTTCAGGGGTGGACGGTGTGTCTTCTGGTGTTGAAGGGGTATCTTCCGGTGTAGATGGTGTGTCTTCTGGTGTTGAAGGGCTACCTTCAGGTGTGGACGGTGTGTCATCTGGTGTTGAAGGGTATGGTGTAGATGGTGTTTTTGGTGTTGAAGGTGTACAGGCGTTGATGGGGTGTTTTCAGGGGTGGACGGTGTGTCTTCTGGTGTTGAAGGCGTATTTTCTGGTGTGGATGGTGTGTTTTCTGGTGTTGAAGGGGTATCTTCAGGTGTGGACGGTGTGTCTTCTGGTGTTGATGGGATATTTTCCGGTGTAGATGGTGTGTCTTCTGGTGTTGAAGGGGTGTCTTCAGGGGTGGACGGTGTGTCTTCTGGTGTTGAAGGCGTATTTTCTGGTGTGGATGGTGTGTTTTCTGGTGTTGAAGGGGTATCTTCAGGTGTGGACGGTGTGTCTTCTGGTGTTGAAGGGATATTTTCCTGTGTAGATGGTGTGTCTTCTTGTGATGAAGGGGTATTTTCAGGTGTTGAAGGGGTGTCTTCTGGGGTGGACGGTGTGTCTTCTGGTGTTGAACGCGTATTTTCTGGTGTGGATGGTGTGTCTGTTGGTGTTGAAGGGGTATCTATAAGTGTGGACGGTGTGTCTTCTGGTGTTGAAGGCGTATTTTCTGGTGTGGATGGTGTGTCTTCTGGTGTTGAAGGGGTATTTTCAGGTGAGGATGGTGTGTCTTCTGGTGTTGAAGGGGTATTTTCAGGTGTTGAAGGGGTGTCTTCAGGGGTGGACGGTGTGTCTTCAGGTGTGGACGGTGTGTCTTCTGGTGTTGAAGGCGTATTTTCTGGTGTAGATGGTGTGTCTTCTGGTGTTGAAGGGGTATCTTCAGGTGTGGATGGTGTGTCTTCTGGTGTTGAAGGGATATTTTCAGGTGTTGAAGGGTGTGTCTTCAGGGGTGGACGGTGTGTCTTCTGGTGTTGAAGGGGTATTTTCCGGTGTAGATGGTGTGTCTTCTGGTGTTGAAGGGGAATCTTCAGGTGTGGACGGTGTGTCTTCTGGTGTTGAAGGCGTATTTTCTGGTGTGGATGGTGTGTCTTCTGGTGTTGAAGGGGTATTTTCAGGTGTAGACGGTGTGTCTTCTGGTGTTGAAGGGATTACTTCAGGTGTGAACGGTATGTCTTCTGGTGTGGAAGGGGTATCTTAGGTGTGGACGGTGTGTCTTCTGGTGTTGAACGCGTATTTTCTGGTGTGGATGGTGTGTCTGCTGGTGTTGAAGGGGTATTTTCCGGTGTAGATGGTGTGTCCTCTGGTGTTGAAGGGGTATTTTCAGGCGTTGAAGGGGTGTCTTCAGGGGTGGACGGTGTGTCTTCAGGTGTGGACGTTGTTTCTTCTGGTATTGAAGGGATATTTTCAGGTGTAGATGGTGTGTCTTCTGGTGTTGAAGGGGTATCTTCAGGTGTGGACGGTGTGTCTTCTGGTGTTGAAGGGATATTTTCAGGTGTTGAAGGGGTGTCTTCAGGGGTGGACGGTGTGTCTTCTGGTGTTGAAGGGATATTTTCAGGTGTGGATGGTGTGTCTTCTGGTGTTGAAGGGGTATTTTCCGGTGTAGATGGTGTGTCTTCTGGTGTTGAGGGGATTACTTCAGGTGTGGATGGTATGTCTTCAGGTGTGGACGGTGTGTCTTCTGGTGTTGAAGGGGTATCTTTAGGTGTGGACGGTGTGTCTTCTGGTGTTGTAGGGGTATTTTCCGGTGTAGATGGTGTGTCTTCTGGTGTTGAGGGGATTACTTCAGGTGTGGATGGTATGTCTTCAGGTGTGGACGGTGTGTCTTCTGGTGTTGAAGGGGTATTTTCAGGGGTAGATGGTGTATCTTCTGGTGTTGAAGGGATATTTTCAGGTGTGGACGGTGTGTCTTCCGGTGTTGAAGGGGTATCATCAGGTGTAGATGGTGTGTCTTCTGGTGTTGAGGGGATTACTTCAGGTGTGGATGGTATGTCTTCAGGTGTGGACGGTGTGTCTTCTGGTGTTGAATGGGTACTTTCAGGGGTAGATGGTGTGTCTCCTGGTGTTGAAGGGGTATTTTCTGGTGTGGACGGTGTGTCTTCTGGTGTCCATGGGGTATCTTCTGGTGTAGGTGGTGTATCTTCAGGTGTGGACGGTGTATCTTCAGGAGTGGATGGCGTATCTTCAGGTATAGTAGGAGTAGTTGTAGTATCGTCATAAATATTACATTCCCCTTCGAAATCTGGTGGAATGTATCGAAATGAGTCGATTAATACAATAGAATTAGAAGCAGCTATCCCAAGCATTGTTATCTGGAACAAATAATAAGTCTTACTTTTCAAATAATAAGTCTTACTTTACTTCAAGTACTCGTAGTACTTGAAGTTAGTAAACCAGTAGAGTACACTAGAGTTATGATAGATTTTGTATAAAAAAGTCAATCAAATGACGTTGACATGTCAGTTTTATTAATTATTTATGGTTTACTGAGTTAAAATTTTGATAAATGTATTTTTGGTATCATAAATTGTTATTTAATTTTTTGTGAATAACGGTAAGTATAAGTTCATACAGCAATGTCAAATTGTGAAAATTATAAAACTAGCTATTTTACGATTAATAAGAATTATCGAATTAAATTTCTAATCATTAAGAATTTAAATATTTCATAATTTCATTTTATGATTGTTTATCTATTAGGAAAACCTGACTGTAAAATGAAAATCCCTGAAAGGAAAAAAGCTAATTTTACGTATTTTCAGTTGCTTAAAAACAATGTTACTTAATTAGTCGTTTCTTATTTCTATGGTTGGAGTGTGATTTTTGGAAGTTTAAAAGTGTACGGTTCGTTAGTCGTTGAGACGGCTCTATTTAGAGTTGTGACGCTCTCCCTCTCCTGTTTTGACAATTACAGTATTTTAATCCAGATTAAACGATAAGTCTGACTCGCACATTCAAACGTTACGTACGACGTTAAAAAAAAATCGTTTTAAAACTTCGGTTTATGCAAATATTACACAATTAAATAAAACCTCTGTTACAGATAGATGATGAAAGATCTAGATTGGATAATGTGATACCTATTCTTGTTTTCTCGTCTATAACGCTTTTTTGTTTTCTGTTATTTGACTTACACTGCCTTGAAATTTGCTTGGACCATTTAGAGTGACTTTCGTTGTTTGCCAACCTGGGCCTCGGAACCACAAATTCCCCACAGTAATACTATTATCCGGCAATATTTCAAACACCGACACCCAAATTTGATCACCAGGCTTTGCTTCCATATACGCAGTCACTTCCAATATTCCTCCTTCAGACATTGGAAAAGATATAGATGACATACAGCTCTGTATTTTACGTGGATAAACGAACTTTAAACTCTTTTCATGAGGTCTGTCAATATTAATATCGGTATAATTCTGAATCTGCCACATTGGTAAGCCAGCACACATATTACTATTTTGATTGAATATAACATCAAAATCCTTTTCAAAGTCATAAGTAATACATTCACTACACACCCGGGCCACTAATAAACCGAAAATTAAAATATGTTTTAACATGACTGGAGCAGAATATTAAATCAAATATATCAGTAGCGTGTGACATTCGTAATGACGGCGACGATAAAAGTTTGGAAATCACATTTTTATACAAATTATTGTTGCCGTATCTTACGCAGAAAAGTTATATTGCTTGTAAAGTACGATTATTATTTTATTGTATGTAATTGCTGGTTTTCGCTTATTATTTTTAATATTCAATTTTCGTTAAGTATTGCTCTATTTCAAAGTCTATTTTACCAAAAAAAATGTTGTTGTAAAAAAATTACAGGTAATTTATTCATATTACTATTTGTTTGTGTAACTAGGAACATTATATTATCTAATTTTCAGAACGTAAGTAAGTACTATAACTCACGTAACTTGTGACGTAATGTGACGTTAATCCTTATCTGAGCAGTGTATTCAAAAATTACTTAAAATCAACGTTCTAGAAAAAAGTTCTAGTGGGAGTAGGTACTTATAAAAAACTGGCTTATTTTAATAAATTAACGAAATTAATATTAGGATACTTAACTCTGTCTCGTGCGTCCAAATGGCAAATGGATATTCCCCATCCCACTTAACACTACGACTGTAGTGAAGAAATAAGATCAGTCAAGGAAGCTATCTGTCTCATGCCTCACTGCGAGATTATTAGCCTTTATAATCCAACAATTTTTAAACTTAACTAAATTTAATCTTCTTGTAAAAATTCCTTAGTAATTATTACTTAAATATTCGTATAAAATATTTTTTTTATAATCTAAATGCACACGGCTCTGAGCACGTTAGTTGTAGTTTATTGATTAAATAGTTATACGTTGTTAAAACAATTATTATAAATTTGAATTGTATTCATTTGCCGCTTAACAAACCTCAATAATAGATGGTACAGCTATTTAGCTGTAAATACTACTTGTGTGAGATGGTACCTATAGTCAGATTTGAGAGCCCCAGGACAAGGAAAGGACATATTACCAGCTCATACACCCCTTGATGTATTTTTAATAAAAAAAGTGTCTAAATAATCGATTAAGATTATGCTTTAGAAGTGGGCTTTTTGTAGTTATTTTTTTAGATTTCAGAGCAAAGTTTTATATTTTGTATTATCCTCTTTACATGTCATCCGTACAATACATCAAATAATATCAATGAATAAAAATAATCAAATAAGCCCTATTTCTGCGTTTTAAATTGTATTCTTCTTTTTTGTCTTGTGTGTCTTTATAGATAATCAGATGTTTTATCCTCCCATAAAGAAAAGCAGCCTGCCTATAAAATGCAGCTGAATTTGATGACAATACCGGGTAAAGTATTACTAACTGACGTGAGACTGATCTTAAATTAAATTATAATCATTCATGTGCACTTTTTATTATTAGGTATTAATTTCTTTTTCATGTGTCCTTTATTATTTTGTTTTTTGTTCCTGTTTAGTTTCTTTTTCTCAACAACTATATGTAATACATGTATTTTTGCACTTCTTGCCTACCTTATGAAATTTAATACTTTATTTTTGTTTTTTCTTTTCTCACAGTGGTTGCCTGGAAGAGATCGATCGAAAGCGATAAGGCCGCCAGTTGCTCTCCTTTTTATTTAATTTTGTCAATTGTACTATATTTATGTATATGCAACGAAGTGTTAATAAATAAAATAATAAAATAAAGTGTTCTGGCTTATGCAACGAAGCTAAGGCGTTTTTATACAAACTGTACGTAATAAAGGTATTTTTACTTAGCTGTCTATTCATGTATCCGCCATATCGATCGATAAAATATATTACTGGGAGCTTGATAGCCACATCAAAGAGCAATTACCTGCGTGATAACGATCAAAGATAAGATTATAAAGATAATATCAAGATCTCTATTTAGACATAGATAATTTCACATTTTTAATTAATGTCACGGGATAATGACTGCTCGTATTTGGAAATAAAGTTTATTTTGCGCCTATCGCAGTTCCTATCGACGCGATTTGTAAAAAAATAATAATTTATTATTGTTTCGGTCTACTGTGACAATGAACCTGCTTAACAGAGACCTGAAATGCGGAACGTGGAAAAACTTTGTAGTACAAAGGCGATGAGGGTGGAAAAAGAGAAAATAACAAAAAAGACCTGGCTCCAACGTAGTCACGTGATGAAGCGAGGTCACAAATGTTTCTTAAGGCAATTTGAGATGATTATTATATACAGTGAGAGAGAACTTCACGATGTTTTCGCAACCTTTTGTTTAATTATGTCGTGTATGGTGTGTGTGTACGGTCTTTATGAATGGATTTAAGTTTTCTTCTATATTCAAAATAAAACATATCGCCTTTTCACCTCTTGCTGTCTTAAGAATATTACACATTGTTTATGCTAGTAATATTGTTAAAGCATATTTCAGCAATACAAGAACTCTTTGTCGACATCACAGGAGACCGAAGATCTGGCAGCTACTTCGGACAAAAAATTAGTCTAGCTATTCAAAGGGGGAACGCTGCCAGTATCTTCGGAACCTTGCCTAAAGGGACTCCTTTGAATAATATATTTAAGTTATTATATGTTAAGGTTAGTTATTTATTTCAATTTTCAATGTATAAGCTTACATTATATTACAAGGTACAAGTGATATGAATGCAATGTTAACACAAGTCATACAAGAAATTATGTTAGATTATATCAATATACTACGCCTAGAGTAATTATTATTGCATTGTTTCCTAAAGTGAATTATGCTCGGAAAAATAATATTAATATTAAAAAATGTTACAAGAGTTAAATTCAGTATTTTAGAAAGCTTCTAAATGTTCAATTGGTTTTGGTGTCATTGTTTCATTCATATTAACCCTTTTTTAAGTAATAAAATATGTCGTGCGGAGTATATTTTTTTTTATGTAATAGGAGACAAACCGGAGGCTCATATGATGTCAAGTGATACCGCCTCCCATGGACACTCACATTAGCAGAAGGCTCGCAAGTGCGTTGCCGGTGTTTTTAAGAATTCGAAATGCTCATTTCTTGAAGGACACTAAGTCGAATTGGTTCGGAAATACTTCAGTGGGCAGCTGGTTCCACATAGTGGTGGTGCGCGGCAAAAACAGCATTAGGAAACGCTTAACGTAATAATGCAATGCAAATTGTTGAGAATTTTGTGAATGTCATTACGTATTTTTAATAGCTGATAAGAATGTACAAAATATATCAGAAATTCGTTATTTTTATAAACTTTTTATTACTGGACGTTGGCCATCAAACTCGTGAAGCATGTCTTGTCCTGTGCCAGTACAGCAACTCTTCCGCAGTCGTACCTCATACCCGTCCACTCCCTATCGATACGAAGCCATTATTTTTTCCTTCTACCAACACGACGTTAACCCATTATAATTCATGGAGGAGGTGGTAGCGGTCATGGCGCAATACTGGGCCGTAGGTACGTAGACTAACTTAGATACAATAGAATAGAGTATTTTTAAGCTAATGCCTCTTTCTATTAATTAAAATCAATTCTCTACTGCAAACAACATTCATTTTCTAAATATTTTATCAATCTTATCTTATCTTTAAGTAATCTAAATTGTTGTATATTAAGATATACAAATCAATAAGGACTTCGTATTAAGCCGTGTTTATTCTATGGCTTTTATATTTATAAAATGCGTTTAAAAATTACAGAAAAAGAATATACTTTATATTAAAATCCAGACTACTGTCTTATTTTAAGTTTCTTACAAAGTGTAGTAATTTATTGTAAGTAATATTAATCATTTTAATTACATTTATTACTTAAAGTAAGTAGTGAAGTATGTGCAATTACAGATTTTGAATTAGTATTATAATAAGATAAATACATAAAGTAAAAAGCTTAAAATTAGGACGAAAAACAAAAGCTATAGATGCTTTGACGTATGCCCTAAAACAGAATTGACAATGGAATGACAATATATACATATATAATTGCATACAGCAAGAGACACACATAAAATGTGGACTTTAAAGACAACTATATGGCAAGGATCAAGGGGAAGAAGGGGAAGAGGCTTCTTCCCCTTCATCCCCTTCTATCCACCTTTTTCTAGGGCGTCCGCCCTCCAAAAAAGATGGATAGAAGATATAGAAGCATAAGCAGGAAGCGAATTGAGAATGGAAACCATGGATTGAGATAACATAAAACTGGAGTAGGCCTTAACCTGTGAAGGGTTTCCTATCAATGGTATACTGAAGGAAGGAAGGAAGATATGTTAGGAATTTAATTGTGTGTTGAATGGAATTTAATTTTGTTTGTCATTAAATATTAAAAGTGTCGAAAGTTAATACAAATAATACTTTTTTTTTTAATTTATTTCTTCGATAATAAAAACACGTGGCATTTGATTTTACAATTCGTCATTTGAGATTTCAACATATTATTTTGCATAAAATATAAAATATTTTAGTAGTATATAGTTAGTAGTTGTCGGATGAACATATATAAAAATGGAGCGTCAGAATTAACGTGAAGTTGACTAATTATTTTGAGACCCTTAAAGCGTCTGTTCACTGTACGGGTTAATCCGCGATCAAATTTGAAGAGCGTTCAGATGATGAGCGCTAGCGTTGCGAGATACTCGTCGTCTAGTTGGTAGAAGTAGAAAATGGAGTGAAGAGGCTATTATTTTGTGGTTATATTATAAAGAAAAATATAGAAAAAGAAAACGTACACATTGGGTTTATCAATTTTGAAAAAAATACAATTTATATTATATTTTTATACAAATTTGCTATATTCAATTGTGACCTTTTTTCTACTTCATGATTAGTAAGTCGATGTCAATATCTTCAATTTCACTCATTTAAAAGGAGAACAAAATATAATTACGAAAATTAATAAAATTAAGGATGAATGAAAGGGTATTGAACAGCAAACGGACATTACATTAATATCAAAGGGTAGGGATCATGTCTGAGACTTTTCTTGGGCGGTTGACGGTTAACGTAAGCGGTAATGTGAACAGTTGTATGGAAAATACCATAAGTGGAGAAAAGCGGTCATTTTCATCTAAGCCTAAAGCGTCTGTCAAGCAATATGGCCGACGGAAAGTGTCTGGGAGTATTGACAATTTATTTTTAACTATACACTGGAAAACATATATAAAAATCAGCCATGAGAATTTACGTGAAGTAAGTAATGTTTTTGTGTACCTTGATTACCTGATACCTGGAAATTGGCCGTTTGACCAAGCTAGCAGGTAGGCATACAATCATAGTACATACTAACACTACCCAATCGTCCATATTTCATCCGTCAGAAAATACGTGACGTCTGGCGGCCCTGGGATCTTGCTCTAATAGGGAGGATCCTTAATTCTCTATTAATGTTCGGAAACAGCGCATTTCAGCATTGTTATTTATTCTATATTTTTAGTCACACCGGAGAAGTATGAAATGACACTGCCGCATATTATTTTTTTATGGACTATCGGAAAATACTAGAATTTTTGTGGAACAAAACGTTTGAAAGTCGTAATTAATCCGACGAGTTCGACTAACGCCCACGCGCTTGGGCCGCCTGTACCAGCGCTAAAACCATCATTTTTCTTCTTTTCATTTCGTAATAAGACTCCTGAAGAACCGCCATACTGGTACAAATGACCCACTATTTTGTGTCACTATCTCCGGGCCTATAATAACTTCAGTATTTAATTCGTATCTGGCGTATCTAAAAATACGAACCACAAACTTATACTGGAGTGTTACAATGCACTGAAGGTAACCGGGTCAAACGGGGTAAGGCCGGTTGTCCACCGCCACCACACGGGGCGTCACCAGTTATTTAACCAGGACTAAACTAAGTCCATATTATACTACACTTATAATATATCTTCCAGGAAACGATGACCAAAACAATCTTTGGAAAAGTGATGTCCGATAAGACTAATCTATATTAAGTCCTATACTACAATCTGTAAAAAGAACATTAAAATATTTTAATTTTTTGATAACGATATCTTCATACTTTCGTAACGCGAGTTCCTCTACGCAGATCAAAGGTTAAATGTTGTCCATGTTACGATCATTCAAATTCAAAATCCTTTACTAATTTAGGTAACACAATGTACACTTCTAAACGTGAATAAAGAAAAACATATTAAATGCATCTTATTTTACATTAACTGCCAGTTCTCAAATCAAGGGCGTAGAACGGACGAGAAGAACTGGCAATAAACTCTCCGCCACTCGTTTTAACATCTAACTCTCACTATGTTTTAATAAGTGTAGGAGATTATTAATTGATTTCAAATTTAATTGTTTTGTTTTTTTTGTTGTAATGTTTGTTTTGTTTAATAATCTCTATATGTATGTCATGTTTGCCTTTAAGTGCTTGTAACATTAAAAATTGTATTTTGTGTTTGTTTTTACCAATGTCTCAGTGTGCCAAGCGTTGGCAAGCTTTTTCTCGATTAAAAAAAAAATATCAATTTTTTTTTTAAACGCAATAGTTTCGGCATTCCTTTTATGCTTCACCTCCTGACTGTTATTTATAGTTTCGCTAACAATTTTACATAACACAGTCTAGTCTAGTACACTAATCGCGAGCAACACCTATTAACTCATAATTCTATAAATTATTTCCTGATTAATGTTTCATTTCATTTATATTATGAATATAGTGAATAATGTTGAGTGGAGCAAAATTATTGAAATACAGACACTAGGACCCAGGTACCTAAAATTAAGTACCTACATCATAAACAGTATGAACTTTCCTACTGATTTCAGGATTTATTATTTAAATTACACTACCTGCCCGGGCGTGTTTTGCCATTTTAATTATTTCTAGACAATAATTTGGTCATTAAAATAACTAACTTTTTGAAAGTGTATCGGAATTAGTTACGATGATTTTATGACGAATTTGATAATTGCAGAACTAATACCGGGTTAAACGTATTTTTTAATTTCAAATTATTAAAAAAAATCTCATATAGGTACTTGCACTTGAATAAAAATGGTCGAAATATATTATTTTATGTACAGTATTAATTAAATTTTTATGGTTTTAGTTTCGAAAGGTTGTGTAAGGGCCTTATTATTAATTAAATTACTTTGGCTCCAATATATATACATATATTAATATGAATATACCGAGTTATTTCTTGGTATCTGCTATAGCAGATGCAGCTTGATATTCTTTTATACTTCTTCCTACAGACATTCATAATGGCTACGTACAAAAAAATAAGCAAATCATTTTGTCATAAAATGGCTTCCGGGAAAAGATCAAATGGAGGAATGAACCTTGTTGTAACTGTCAAATTTAAACTGTACATTCAATTTGTTTACTAATAATTTAAGTTAAACAGATCTTTAATGCAATAAAATACAAATAATTACAAAAATATTCATTAAAGAAACCTACATCTTAGGCTCATATAAGCTGAAACGTAAATAATATGACAATAATATAACGTAAATATACGATATAAACGTATATAAAAATTTATTGAGAAATAATGAATCTATTATTGGCTATATCTTGACAATTCAGCCATTAATATAAACAGTACTTACATATCCGGTAAAATTCCCCGAACCTTCCATAACGTCGATTCGTAACTTATGCCAGCCTGAATAAAAGTTTGGCGTGACAGTGGGCCCCAACATAATGCTTCCAACAGTAGCATCACCGATCTCCCTCACTGCATTCACCATAAGTGTGATTTGACACTCCTCGCTCGACTCCATATATGCATTGATATCTACACGCCCTCTTTCACTTCCTTGAAAAGTAAAAGAAGCCACGCAACTCAACTGCTGCCTATTTGGTGAAATAAACTTCTCACTCAGCCAATGCGGAGGGTCTAATCCTATATCTGAATATGTCTTAAGGTCCCACATTGACAGGCCATTACACATACCAAGTGTGTTCGTAAAATTGTCACTATAACCATACTCGAAATTGTAAGGCAAGCACGCGTCACACACCACGAAATATGCAAAAATCACAATTAATTTATACATCTTTGAAATACTTAAGCATATTAAAAAATATGTTTCAGCTATTCAAATTATTATCTCTGATAAGATAGGGCATTATTGATAAAATCAATTACAATGCTAATTCTGTAGTTATACACGACTAATTACTGTTCCATTACCGATATCTTTACACAGGTAAGTCGACAGGCCAATGAATATATTGAAATCACACGTTGATTTTGTTCCGCATTTTTTATTGGCTATAAAGTATAATCAAACCTGGAAGTAGCTGTTATAAAGGTAAAAACAAAAATGTAAAGACAATTAGAAAACAGTAATAAACATATACAATGTACTTAAAAGCTTGGAAGCTGTGCTCTGTCTGTAATATATTATACGCTTTTTGTCTAATTTAGAATTGTAATTGATGTGAAATGTATTCCTAAAACAAACAAATTCCAACAAGATGTCCTAATTCGTTTAATATGTACCTACGCCAATGTATGCGCTGTGCAATAAAAAGAAAAACATTACCTGAGCAATACTTATATTTTTTTTTACATTAAATTGTGAACTTTTTAACTTGAAGAAGCTAAGCTAAAACTTAATAATAAATCTATGAGAAAAACGGAACTTTGACCAACATTTATTTGTTCTTTGTTATTGTCATTCAGCTGTTAATAAAAAAATTACTTGCGTTGAAAGTTCCACCACGTGGAAGTGATCTGTTATCTATTGACTTACCTACCTTAAAACCTAGTCAAAAGAAACGAGACCTAAGGGCCATTTAGATGGAGAGAGTTTCTCGTCTCGAAGGTACGATTATCGAAAGAATATAAAAAAGTTTATTCGTCTAAACATTCACACCTCTGGCTCTTCCACTTTGGCGACAATTGTCTCGCAATGGAAAATTTATTGCGTCCGTGTAAACAGAATTTCAAAAGCAATAATCGTATTTCGAGGTTTTGTGCCAGTTGCTACCATGAGTGCAGAGCGTGAGGGTGTTTTAATGACTAAAACAAGAATTAATTAAACGGAAGCGGAAAAAAAAGATTTTGGGTTTTTATAATTGTATTTTTCAGTGCTCAACACACACTCTTAACTTAATATTATCGGCAGCCCCAAAGTTAGAATTTTTGTGTCCAATGAAAAATCTTGCACTGAAAACGGTTCAAACCGATCTATACGATACTCGTATGAACATAAAAAATTTCATACGAGATCGTGTTTATTCTAGTCGAGATTCTCGTAAGAAAGTATCTTACTAAAATTTCGATGTGTAAACAGACGCAGGAAATTATCGCCTAGCGATAAATCACTGGCGAATCGCGTATGACATAATTGTAGGTGAGAATTTAGTTGTGTGCCTGTGTGTAAACATTTTGATTCGATAATGCATAGAATTATTGCGCCATAGGGCGATTATTGCTGGTGATAGTGGCGTACGATTTCTCGAGAAACTATCTCCATCTAAACGGACCTTTAGCGCTTAGTAAAAACGTATTGAATTTTGATGTATGGCTCGTTAAATCTTCTACTTAGAAGAATAAACCTCAAAACTCCTTTCCAATTGTGTTTTGTGCCTAATTGATGCATGTATGTATGAGCTAAAACACTGTAAAAATAACTTTACCTTAGTAGTTATAGTAATTTCTAATATTAGTGTACTTAGTGCATCGATAATAAGGCGTTATAATTAAAATTTTATTTTATTCGGTTTTTTAAGGTCGCCATTTTTATAGCATATTGAAATATCGCGAGTTTTTAATGACGTTAAGGTGGCTACACAGATTTTAAAAAAATTTGCTTCAATTACACTTTACTTCAATGCGGCAACTATTTACATTTTTATTACAAAGACAACACAGCATAACAAATTAAAATATTTACAAAATACTAACTATTTCTTACAGTATTGGAACTAACATGAAGCAGACCAGTTCTGTGAGTTCACTCAACGAGCATAAAATTTGGTAATCTATTAAGTTCATTAATTATTCTCATAGATTGTGTCATGTGTGCCGTTTTCGAGAGGTTAGACGAAGACGAAGAAAGTAGACGTACCTATGCAACTTGTTCAAAATAAACCAATAAATGTTATAGTAAGTAATAAAATATATGTAATAAACATTCCTTAATTGAATAGAAAGATACGACTTGACGATAATAATACGTCTGATAATGACTGTGATTGTGACTTTTAATATTGATAAAAATAGGCAAGGAAATTATATTTTTTTTTATAGAACAGGCAGGACGCTCATCTGATGTTAAGTTATACCGCCGCACATGGACACTCCATATGCCGCGAAAGGGCTCGCGAGTGAGTTGCCGTCCTTTTTAGTATTGGTACGCTCTTTTCTTGAAGGACCAAAAAAAGAGCGTACCAATAATATGTATTATACGTATATAAGCTTTGGGTCTGGGGAAGAAAATGCAGTAAGTTTAATTTAAGAATTAACATTTTTAATTTTCCAAAAACTCGCCGATGATTATTACAAGGACCCTTTCGACCTAAAAATTATGCTTTACGTTTTTGAACAGATTTAAAGAATACAAAATTTATAAATGTGTAATAAAGCACCAAATGACAAATTAATCCCCAAACGTCAGATTAATGATTATAATATAGGGGTATGTATATTATCATCTGATAACACAGAAGTAATTGGATAAATTCCTGGAAGTGATAATATTTAAAATGATAACAGATTTTTCGCGAATTTTTTTTTATTGATTTAAGTCCTGCCGTGATCGGTTTTATTATGGATGAATGGAATGATGAAACCGAACTGCTTTAGTATTTCGATTAGCTTCATCTCTCAATCGTGCCAACCACATACGGAACAAGGCTGCGAGCCATAGAGCCATAATAGTACGTATATCCGTGCACATATACAATCTAAATCTTTTATTTATGTATGATTTTTCGTTGCAGTGTTGGCCTAGTGGCTTCAGCGTGCGACTATCATACTCGTGGTCGTAGGTTCCATCCCCGGCTGTGCACCAATGGACTTTCTTTCTATGTGCGCATTTAACATTTTCTCGAACAGTGAAGGAAAACATCGTGAAGAAACCGACATGACGTCTTAGACCCAAAAAGTCGACGGCGTGTGTCAGGCACTGGAGGCTGATCACCTAATTGCCTATTAAATTTATACTACACTTCCACTTTAAGAAATTCTTTGTAAGGTCTAGAATTTTTTTTAGGTTTGCAGGGCCGGATTTTTTTTATATTGCAGAATCTTTTATATTACCCAGGAAAATATAGCTATTTTAGCAATTTTTTAGTATAATGATAAATTAAAAAAGCTTTATGTAAAATAACATTTTAATGAAAAATTACATTCATAATTTTATGAAAACATTTTAGATCTTTCGAGCATGTATTTAGTCAAATTAGACATAAACATAATTCAGTCTCTGTAATTACACGATCCTAAAGTAGCAACATTTGATTTTAATCACTGGCAACACCATACTAAAATTATTTATAAAGTAACATTCAAATAAATCCAATCTAACTACAATTAATTGAAAAATGCACCGAATGTCGTAAATAATTTTATTTACTAATTCAGTCTGTAAAGTTACATAAAAATAAGTTCAAGAATTTCGATTACACAAAATATATGCAATCTCGTACATAAAAGGTGGAACTAAACTTAAAAATAAATTTATAAAAATATACAGAGATAACAGACATTTATTAATCAATCTATATTGACAAAGTACAATACGCGTTGACAACATGTCAAAATGCGTTGACAAACTGTCAATGTACATTGTTAATGTCAACCCATTTAATATGATACATTTATTTAAGGGCAAAAATGCCAAAAATATGTCATTCTTTTAAATGATACACTTTGGATTAAAATGAATCTACTTTGTACAAATATCTCAATATTACATGCTTTATGGCCTGGTCACAGGTTTTAATAGACGCTAGATTATTGGACATTGATAATCTATGATTCAAGTAAATTTAAACAATTGTTTGAAAAGGAAAAATGCATTCTAGTCAAGTGCTAATTTATGGTCAATAGGATATCCCTTGCAAAAATATTGCCATTTAAAACATTTCGGTACTAAATAAGTTACACTATAATCATATTGACGCACGAAAATCACGTCATAAAGGTTAAAATTATTTATTTAATTTTCAGTAAAATCCTATTGTTGCTTAATGAAAAATATACAATAACGATTGCGATCCCCACGAGTTTTAACGTATACCCAAGTGTACGGATTGCATACAATAACGTACAATCCCTTTTAGAATTTACAGAGTACTGGTACGTCTGTGTGCAATTCAATTTCTAAATAATATATTTAAAAACTTAAAAAAACATTGACTGATATTGTACCATTTACTAAAAACTAATGGACGCTTCAAAGAAATCTAGTCATTTCTACTAAAACCGAAAACTAAATGCTAAAACCCTGCTATACTAAGGTTTTTCATTGGTCATTAAACGTGTTTTGTCATTTGGCAGTAAACTAATATCCTTCTCCTTTGTTGTGTAGGGTAAGCTTGATAGGCTCTAATTATCCAGAAACCGGAATCGAACCCAATTAATTCACACAGGTAACCATAGTCATATAATATATAATTTCGTGAAAAACTTGTGCTTCTTCTTAACTAAACTGAACATCAGTACATAACTTCGTAAACTGTCGCTTTTTTATCTCCAGAGCCCGTCACAATGAACTTATCGTCTGATGACACGTCACAACTAAGCACTGACGAGGATTCCTTTGACTGAAAATTTCAATTATTAAAATTAAAAAAAAAAAACTTGTAATAATTGTAATGAATGTTAACACATAAAAACAAATACATGCTGCGAATTGAACGCAGGACTTGAGGGTTGAGTGTCGCACGCGCAATCCACTAGACAATTCTAAAAATCATCCTAATTGACGCCAGTAAAAAAATTATCAGTTTGACGTTATGATATGGAATTTTATATTTTATAATATTTACAAGTTCCAAGTATGTGCTGAATCCCTTGTATGTTTGTCCACAAATTTCTTAAAGAAATACGGTAAGTAATTCGCACTTGGCTGAAGATTGGTGGGGTTGCACTCAAATAAACTATTAAAGGAAATGTGAAAAGTTCTCAACGATCCGGACTGCAAAAAAATTTACTCGTCAAAGATCAAAAAATGGGTTTTTCGCGATTCACAAAATGTAAGTTTTATCTTAAAATTAGTTTAGACAAAATGCTCAACTAATTTCCAATAGTTTTTCCAAGAGCATTGATATCGATTCAAAAACTACATTCTGAAAATCAAATAACATTTTTATTATTATTTGACAATTATTTTTTAATCGTGTATTGAATCGTACCCAATACCTCACCCAAATGTGTTCTTAATAAAAAAAATAAACGCATTAAAAGAATTTCAGTATTAAATAATGCTAAAACTTTTTTTATTATTACAAATGTTTTTGATTGGGAATGGCCCTGCACCCAAGACCTCCCCAACTGTGTTCCTAATAAAAAAAACGAATAGTAATTAAAGTACTATAAATAATGTTTTTTTACAAGCTTTGATGCTAATTTTGTGTGTTGGAACTGTGTTTGTGTATTTGTCTTCAATATACCTGGAATATACTAGCGCCATACGGCGTTCTCCAGGCGTTGAGTAGATTATCTTTTCCCGTTGACACGAACCATTTGCCACTCGCCGCGAACCTTAGTGAGAGGACACAAGACTCGTGTAACACTAGTTGATATCTATCGGGTTTGCCCGCGTGTAATACTTCCACGTGGGAGTTCTCCATGCCCACGGCCAGCCAGGAACCTAGAATTTTTTTTATTTTTTATTGTTAAAAAAAACAAAATATTACTTAGTTAAATTTTAAAAAAATAGGTGACTATTGTATCTATAGAAGTGACTTTTAAAATCTTATGGCGAACATGACTAAAACTTCTAATAAAAAAATCAGAGGCGCTACAATCTTTTTAGGTCTGAGCCTCAGATTTCTGTATCTGTTCATGATCATTTGTCAATAAATTACGCAAGTAGATGATCAGCCTTCTGTGCCTGACACACGCCGTCGACTGTTTGGCCTAAGGCAAGCCGGTTTCCTCACGAAGTTTTCCTTCACCGTTCGAGCGAATGTTAAATGCACACATAGAAAGAAAATCCATTGATCCATCCACAGGCGGGGATCGAACCTACGACCTCAGACCAACAGACGATAAGGCTTTGATTACATGTAACAATCATATGATCTTCATCACATTCAACCGATGATATTTTGATCGTTGAATGTAAATATCACGATGTCTAGTCACGATTTGAAAACGCGCGTCAAAATTTTGCCATCTGAACATGGCCTAAGAGTTGCACGCTGAAGCCACTTGGCCAACACATCTAATACATATTGAATATTTTTATTAGTCTTCTCACCTGTAGGACAGTATCCCAACGAGAAGATCTGACTTGAGAAGTCGTGCTGGTGCAGTTGCCTTCCCTCCCTCAAGTCCCAGGAACGCACAGTATTGTCTAACCCACCCGTCCATAGTCGGGTTCCATCCGGACTTATGTCTATACAAGATGCGCCGTCCGTGTGACCTGTATGTTATATAGTAATCGGTATATAAAACTCCACCCATTTTTTTTATTAAAACAAAAATAATAGATGTTGAGCAACATGCCCTACAAGTCGAGCTTCGAACACACGACCTAAGCCATAAATTCAGTCAAAAAAAACTTAATTTAAAAAAAAAAATGCTTTTCTTATAAATAAAAATAATGTTCAGTACCTTGGAATTGCCTAACTAATGTTTGATTATGAAGATCCCAGACTGCGATATTGCCATCGGAGCAACAGCTGAAGCACACCTGAAATGGTTGTTATAAACATTACCTACTATAATTTTGTATAAATTTTATTTATTTATTTTATTTTATAATTTATATCTTATCTTGGTGGTCTAGTGATACTACAAGCTTTTAGGTGTGGACCTTACATTTCTGTATCTATTTCGTGATGCTTTGTTTTCTTAAATGGCAAGTACATAGTTTATTTATTTATAAAAACACTCCTGCCTTAACAGGTGACCCTTAACTTGCCACGAGCGAACAATAAGTAATATACTTTACAGACGAAACACAAAAAAACTACTATAGGCTCTAACAAATAATATTACTTTTGCCAGCTAACTCAACGGACAATGAAAAATGTCCGTTAACCTAAGTATTTCGTTAACTAAATTAATACCTCGAATATCAGCCTAGCTTGACACATGCTAACTAACACAAATAAAGCTAACTAAACGTCGATTTCATTAAGATGTTTACACCGTAAGAGCGAATGTAAAGGTGTGTTTAATGCACACATCGGCAGAATAGCGAACGAACGCGTCGCACGATGAAGGCACGAATGGTATACTGCTCTAAATTACTTATTATTAAAGATTAAGAAAGAAGAAAGATTAAACCACAATTAATGAACTGATTTTAATTCATTCATTCATATATATTTAAAAAAATAACTTCCCTCAGTTTCGAATATAACAATGACCAAGATATCTCAAAATCGATCTAAGAAATAAAATATCTTTTTGTCTTAAACAATGCTATTAGCTATATTATAAAGAAGAGGGCTAGAAGAGAGGAACCCTTAAACTGACCATAAACAGAATAATTCTTGTACTTTTTTTACATTATTATTACCATGCTTGTATATGTCACTGGAATATAACAAAATCGTAGGATTTTCGTAGGATTCTAAACGAGAAATAAATGTATTATTTTACGCCCACATTTTCGCCAATTTATCAATTTGTGACGTCTCGTAGTAAATTTATAAAGTAACGGAATATCCATTCGTAAGAGTTATCGCTTACTTATTATTTTATGGGTTAGTTCGGTAAGTTTATAAATTTGCGAAAATGTGGGCGTAAACGCGCGTTCAGCAATGAGGCTATATTAAAATATGTTTTATAAACCTAATCAAGAAACAAAAATACATATAAATCTAAGTACTGTAAAATTATACATACTTTTAAAAGAACTTATTTTACGAAGAAAATTTTACAAGTGATTGACTCTTTTATATCGAAAGTTGGTACAAATTTATTTCAGCATAAAAATGTGCAAATAATCAAATATTTCCTTTTATTAATTACCTTAGAATCAGGACTTATTGCTAGGGCATAGCAGGCCGGGGCTGAAGAAGTGAGTTCTGCTCTCATTCGAGGTGTAGGAGAAGACAAATCCCAGATGGAGAGATTGGAGGCCTCTCCTCCGACCAGCAATGTCCTACCATCTGGTAGGAGTTTCACGGATCTGATGTAATTATCTCTTTGCTGGAATTAGATTTTAAATAAAAAGTTAAATAAAGTAACAAAGAATTTTAGATTTTTTAATTAAAGATTAATAAAAAACAAACATAATTAAATCAAAAAGCCCCGTTTTAAGTCACCAAGATTGTATACCCTTATTTATAATTTTTAAGCATAAACACAATTTTACGAAGAAATGGACTTCTAAAATATGGACCTACAATTCTTATAATATGTTAGTTATAACGAGATGCATATTCAAACTCGAAGAAGTAGAGAGATTGTAACATAAACTGGCCTTTTTTAAATCTTGTCCTAGAATGTCAGGCAATTTGTAAAATGTTTACATTTGATTCAAATCTTTATAATATAAAGTTTATAAACTACAAATTGGGATTAATAAAAGTAAGCAATGAATTGTATTTAAGCGCAAACGGCAAATCTAGAATACAATATTTGTTTTGTTTCCTTCGAAAAACACATTCGTGTTGCAATTTCACATTAAAATTCAAAGTACCTTTGATCTGTGTCCTTATGAAGTTTTTTTTATCAAAAAACCAATGACTCTTAGTCATTCACATGAAATCTTTTGTACTGTCAATACAAATTTAGGCGAATCGACAATTATTTTATTTAGATTTTTTATTATTTTCTTAATAAAAACAACGTTCGGCATACTGATACATTAGTGAAAAAACCACTATATACAAATTTTTATGTGACAAGTAAATTTTGAGAACAAAATTTTTTAAATAAACATATGGATGTGCGCCGGCAAAGGCCAAGGTTATTTGCGATATCATGGGCCAGAACCAGTCTGTTGCACAGATCCCCGTTATCAAAGACGTTGCGCCTACTGAATGCTGTCTCAGACACTATCGACATATTCATATGTTCACAGAGTAATCCCACAGTAGCGATATTGTGTATATTATGTGTTTTAGAATATAATATTTACTTTATTATATTTTTTTTTCGACATTATCGTATTGGCATAGTCTGTAAGGATAATGTATGTATTTCTTTCGGTGTCTGATGTCTTTTTGCATTATGATAAAAAGTAAACGGCCGTTATTAACAACCGTAAAATGACGGCCGTTAGTTAACGGCACCGCTTTTCTAGGAAACTTAAGCTTTACAAATAAATATTTAAATCCAGTTGAAGCTCACCAAACAGTCCAACTGCGATAACGGTTCCAACGTGTTAGGCGAACCGGGGCTGGTGATATCCCATAGTTTGACACAACCTTTACCGCCTGTGTACGCATGCCTTGCACCACTGCTTAGAGATAGGGCCACCGCACACACGACTTCGCCGTGGGGTAATGCTGCCACCTGTCTAGCACCACGGGGAATCCCCGGTCCTACAAGGGCGTCCGCGGGAAAAGGCACTGGTTGGAGCGGACCACCGCATGTGTGGTATGAGTATGCACTGAAATTTTATAGTAAACAATTAAATAATTTTAAATTTGAGGGTAATGGGCCTCTAAAGATCACTATAACTTATGTGAGGTCGATATATTTATTTACACTTCGTTGCATTACAATATAAAAATTTAACTTAATTAAATATAACTGGCGGCCTTTATCGCTTTCGAGCGATCTCTTCCAGGCAACCACTGTGAGAAAAGAAAAAAGGTATTAAATTAGATAAGGTAGGCAAGAAGTGCAAAAATACATATTCTAATAGTTATTAAGAAGAAAAGAAACTAAACAGGAACAAAAAAACAAACTAAACCAATAAACCATGAAAAAAAAAAGTAAAAAGTGCACATGAATCCTAATAATTTAAGATCAGTCTCACGTTAGTTAGTAGTTATTACGAAAGTTAGGGATACGATGGATATATACTGTTAATACAAAATATATAAAACAAACAGGTTTTTTTTTGTTTGTCTGTACGACTCAAAAATACTGGGCCGAATTGAGAAATTATTTTTGTAGGTGTATTTGATGAACGATCCGACTCTTACGAATACTTAAATTTCGCAGTAAATAATGAATAGAAAATTCAGGAGTTTTACTAAAGTATCTTTCAGTACCAACCAACACGAAAATGAAATAAAAAAAATTGTGCGTGCACTAGGTGTACACACGTAAGAAGTGAAACTTCTTTATGATCTTATTTTTCGAAAAATGATCTACTATATGCAACTTTACAGAAATTCGTTAAATTAGATAAAGTTTAACAAAAGGCTTTTATTATCATAGACATGAATACAAATATTTCATTTTACCTTATTACTACGAAGATTATTATAGAATTTCATTAATTGTAATAGAATTATTACTATCATTGAAAAACGTGACGATTTGCTACAAAATTTCTCCCATACGTCGATAAAGAAGTTTCATTCCAACGCCGATAAAGAAGTTTGACTTCAAAAAGCAACATGGCGCGTAACCGATAAATGTGACGCGTAACCGAAAAATGTGACGCGTAACGAAAAAATGTGACGCTTAACGAAAAAATGTTACACTAAATTTTTTTCCAACCTCGATAAAGAAGTTTCACTTCAAAAATGTGTGCGTGTACTAGGTGTACAGACGTAAGAAGTGAAACTTATATAAAACCTTTGTTGTACGCAGAGCCATAATTGGATGTTTTAAGTTTAGAGGTCGGAAACTATTTCTTTAAACACAGTAAATTTTGATACACTGCCTAGCATACAATTTACAAATTAATTGCTGCAAATTGCGATTAGCAAATTTCAAGTCGAAAATGTAATCCGTTGTCAAACTTCAAAGTCAAAAACATACTATATGTCATATTTTAACGCCGATAAAGAAGTTTGACTTAAAAAAGCAACATGGCGCGTAACGGAAAAATGTGACGCGTAACGCAAAAATGTTACACTAAATTTTTTTCCAACCTCGATAAAGAAGTTTCACTTCAAAAATGTGTGCGTGTACTAGGTGTACACACGTAAGAAGTGAAACTTATATAAAACCTTTGTTGTACGCAGAGCCATAATTGGATGTATTAAGTTTAGAGGTCCGAAACTATTTCTTTAAACACAGTAAATTTTGATACACTGCCTAGCATACAATTTACAAATTAATTGCTGCAAATTGCGATTAGCAAATTTCAAGTCGAAAATGTAATCCGTTGTCAAACTTCAAAGTCAAAAACATACTATATGTCATATTTTAACGCCGATAAAGAAGTTTGACTTAAAAAAGCAACATGGCGCGTAACGGAAAAATGTGACGCGTAACGCAAAAATGTTACACTAAATTTTTTTCCAACCCCGATAAAGAAATTTCACTTCAAAAAATGATTTTGATGATTCTTTTATTTGTTGGAAAGTATCGAGGATATCCCAAGGGAGGAAACCTAATCCAGAGATCAAATTTTACATCGTCTATGATTTAGAAACGTATTGCTAACTAAGTTTGATTCCCGTGCTTCAAAAATGTATTAGATTTTGACATACAAAAGTCATAGTTTGCGCTCAGTCCATGAGGTCTTTATTAAAATGAAACTCATGGACAATAAAAACTCGAATTTATTATATTGCAATCAGACATTTCCCATTTTGAAAGGCCGGCAACACACTTGCGAGCCTTCTGTCAATGTTCGTGTCCATGTGCGGCCGTATCACTTAACATCAGGTGAGCATCCTGTCCATTTGCCTCCTATTACATAAAAATACCAATACGAACAAGACCATTTTTATATAATAATAAGTCTTCCTCCGAAACGGCTGGACTGACTTGATGAAATAGGTATGTTCAGATTCAAGAATAGTTTAGATATTTATTTTTAACTTTGATTTTTTTATTTCTGAGAGACAACGGGTCCGCTATATCAAAAAAAAAATTAAGAATATATCGACGTAGGAAAGCACATTTGCTGTAAGTAGACATATTGCAATTGTTCACCAGAGCCAAAAAACTTTATTAATTTCGGAAAAAAATTAATAGTGTCTGACCTATCCATGATATTGCTACCATTTTTGAAACATATATTTATTTAACTGCCAGTCACCATTTGCAATGTAAACTTTTTATCCAAAGTTACTATAAGTACGTGTTTGGCTAGTTACAGCAAACAGTTTTTTAAATCACAAACCTTTAAAACGCTGTAACTAAGGAAGAAAAATGTACGCGCGGAAATATTATCAATTTACAGGCGGTAAATATGCTGTATGCAGGAAATTTATGTATTTGGGTACTTTTAATTGCAATTCAAGATGTAAGATTAGTTTATAATTATGATTAGATCTAGAAATGCAGTGGGTCATTTGGTAATGTAATGTTTGGTTGAAATAAAATGTCGTAAATGGTAAAAAAAAACCAAAACTGTAGGTTCCCTAAACTTGCTGTAAGTAAACGAATGTAAAAATCACACGCCGCTGAAATGCTGTAAGTAGCGTTAAGTTTTTAAATGGGAAGAAGTAAGTATTTGTAAAGAAAAAAAATGCAGATTTTCTTTTGCTGTAAGTGCAAAATGTCTGAAATGACTAGATTTTGGTCTACATACAGCATTTAATCTTGCTAAAAATAATATAAGTACGGGCGTTTTCAACGGCGTATGTAATTTTTTTTTCATCGTAGAGACACAGGTCATTCGATGCGGCTTTTTTTCTGATTCTAATGGCAGGAAAAAGTCACTTTAGGTATTTTGTCTACTTACAGCAAATATGCTTTCCTACGTCGATATATATATGAGTGTGTGTATAATATAATCTTACGGTTTGGCAGGTGGCATCCCATTCGTCCTGTGGCCATCGTAGGGTAAGGGCGTTCTGTACGCGGCATATGGTGGAAACGCGTACCTTCCCGTTGGGGTTGGAGCGCGTCCTTTAGCACCGGGCGTTCCTGGTTTCTCCTGTATTTTTTAATTACTTTTGTATTTCTTGTATACTATAAGTGTTAACGGTATATATCGCAAAATATAAATAAAATAATTTTAATACAACAATTCCTTTACTTCGTACGCATCTCTGATGTGCGGCTTCTCTGATGGTAAGTGATACCACCGGCGGACTCTCAATGCCAAAGATCTTGGGAGTACGTTGCCGGCCTTTTAAAAATTGGTACGCTCTTTTCTTGAAGTAGCTAAGTCGAATGAATTCGGAAATACTTCGGTGGAAAGAGATTTATTTACATCAAAACAAATCTCTTTCCACTTTTTCTTTCTGTTTTACATCTTACTAATCCATTATTTGCAATCGATATATATTTTAAATTTTTTTTTTATAATTGCAATACCAATATTGTCTTAAGGAGTTTGTGTTACTATATGTAGGAGATAATCAACACGATGACATTTATATTATTAGAGTGGCAACACTTATGCAGTATCATAGACATCTTATAGATTATAAATTGTCAAAGTCAATCTGTCAGTAGTGCGTTGCGATCGTCACGTTTCAATAGCCTGCGCATTTAGTTTAAAATGAACATGACGAACAATAGTTAGTGTTTAATAACAATCTCTCTCTCTTACTTACATCTTTAGAGCTCTTAGGTGTAGATCTGCTAGAAGAAGACCCCGATCTCGAAGGTGGTCGAGGACCATTTTCCGTTCTCTCTCCATCCTGAGGTCTCACACTTGGAGACCCCCTTTCTTCCTCATTAGCTACATCTACAACTAAGTCCTGATCGCTTTTCTCGGCATCACTATCCTGAAATGTTTAATAAAATATTGTTGTCTCTTTCCATTTCAGTTTAAACATAATTTGACGGAAAGAGACAAACGACAAATGCCTTACTAACTTGAAAGTATGTATTTCTTTAACCAAAACAAGGATCACCTTAGCATAAGATAATGCTGATGTAGTCTGTGCGGAAAGAGAACTGACGTGGGACTTAAGGTAGATACTTTTTTGTTGACAACCCTATTGCCAACGACATTATAGTTAGAAAAATTAAAAAGTATATAATCATTATGACACAAATTCAAAATAACTTTATTCATAAAGGTAACCAAGTACAGGTATGAACGTCAACAGAAAAGATGTTAAATTGATTCTAAATATTCAAATACTACCAGTTCGCAGGGCGTAAAGCGGGCAAGAAACTTTCCGCTACTCTTTTTAATCGCCAAGATTTGAGTCATACAAATAGTTTGTAAAGCAGAGCAGCCATAAATATTTGAACTGGAGCAATTCAATCCCAAGGATTAGGATCATTTAAATTATCGTTATATTTATAAAAAGCTTTATTTATTAATTTACGTTTAACGAGTTTTGAATTTATTCAATGTTAATTCTCTAATTTCGCTTTGGACTTGTTTAAATGTAGTAAACGAATACAATTTCCATATAAGGAGTGGTTTATCTATATTTTAGATTTGTTCTGTAGTTCAAGTATTATACTGGTGAAAGTCACCATATAAAAGGTTTAACATACAACAAGGCTTCAAAAATATATTGACCAGATAGTGTCATAAAATTTAATTCCTTAAACTTATTCCGACTAAATGAAATGACGCGTAGCAAATAAGAATTATATTAGTTCGCGTAACCGTCACGCCGATTCTTTTTCCGCACATAATCTATTATTATAAGAAAGTCTCCTTGTGATGTCCTAGTATTTAAGAATAAAATCAGAACTTTTTTTTTAAAGCTTACAGTCGTAGTCCGATAAGTCGATTCACTTAAACTGCAAATTCATTAAAGACGGAAAAAAGGTAGCATTGGTAAGTAAGCTTTTGAGGTTCTTATTAAAATCATTAATAAAGGCTTTTTAACTGTATTTGATCTCCACAACTAATTAAGCTAAACCATACTAATTCTAAATGCCTAAACCATCGTTTCTCAACCATTTTTATGTCGCGACCCACGAAAAAGCCAAAAAGTTAACAGTCTTGCGACTCTGTCACTGTAAAATTATAAATTAGTTTTATAACACTACACTATAATTAACGAATCTTTTATACCTATATGTAGTTTGTATTTATTATTTTTCAACAGACTGCGACCCCCTTTTAAAACCAACTCGACCCCCATAGGGTTGCGATCTCCCGCTTGAGAAACGATGGCCTGAACTACTTATAGGACATCGTTTAGTGAGGCTGCGACCACCTTTAGATTAATAACCGTGTCTATTATAGCTTTCTAGTTCAAAGTGTAATATTCATTGCGTAAAATTTGTCTCGTATTTTAAATTTATTACCCTAGATAAAAGAAATACAAACATACACTAGACACAGAGACAGGTACCTTGTCTTCTTTGCGTCGTTTGGCGTCGAGTGGTTCCGGCTCAGCTGGTGAACGCGGCCGATATTTATGTTCGCGTTCGTGAGGTGATACGGAATGACGCTGGGAATTAGCAATTAAATCGAGTTAGCAATCGATCAAATTATCATTTATTCAAACTCAAATTCAAAATATCTTTATTCATGTAGGTGAACAAGTACACTTATGAATTGTCAGAAAGTTAAATTAATTGTAAATTTACATTTACTACCAGTTCGCAAGTCAAGGGCGTAGAGCGGTTAAGAACTGGCAAGAAACTCCCTTTATTCATATTGGAAACGCAACTTACAAACAGTACATCAATAAAAATGTTTAAAAAATTCAATGCTTCTATATTGTTAGTTGTCAAATCAAGGCCAATACTTAAAATCTGCAATTTATAAATGTCTGTAAGGAGTAAAATGTATAAACGTTTATATCAAAAAAAACTAAAATTTGTATATAAATGCGACTGTTTTTTCGGCGGTTTGAGTAGTGTCGGCCAAGTGGCTTCAGCGTGCGACTCTCATCCCTGAGGTCGTAGGTTCGATCCCCGGCTTAACATTGGCTCGAACGGTAAAGGAAAACATCGTGAGGAAACTGACATGTCTTAGACCCAAAATGTCGACGGCGTGTGTCAGGCACAGGAGGCTGATTACCTACTTGCCTAATGCCTGAGGCCCAGACCTAAAAGGTTGTAGCGCCAGTGATTTATTTTTGTGAAAACACAAAGAGTAAATTGTCTGCGATGAAAATCGCTTTGAGTGATTTTTGTATAAAACATATATATTAGGGTGTATATTCCTATTATATAATTTAAATAATACCTGTTGAGCCATAGCTCTTGAAGCAAGCCGGTCGTCATCCCTAGGTGGAGGCTGTCCCGGTAATAAAGGGGGAGGAGCTGGACCTGATAACGGAGGCTTTATGTCCGAAGGCGGTGGTAGCTCCACCTATAAATTATTCCTATATTGTCTTTCTCAGTAAAACGATGTTATTGATCATATATAGGAGCTGATGCTGGTAATTGAGTACTCACTGTATTGAAATTCATACTTTCTGTAAAGTGCAAGTTGGTCAGAGATTTTTTTTTAAACCTGTAACTTTTTCCATTTTCTATTCTCGCTGGAATTACTTGCTAAATGTCAAATCAGTAATTTTAGTTGTTTATTTATTTATAATTAATCCACATCTTGTTTTTAAAGATAATATATACAATTTTTAAATTTAAAATATAGCCAATCGGATTACACGACGTATACGAAGAACGTTATGTACTAACAAAGACAATTTACTACTAACTTATTGGTTTATGTTGTTGTGTGTTGTTATGTGATCTTAAAATCCATTCGATTTTCTTATCTCCTTTGAAACACACGTTTGGAGATAAGATGGAATAAGTCGAGGCTCGCGTAATATATAATAATATAGATAATTAATTATATAGATTTAGGTTGTATCAAGATTTGGGATTGGATACGACGTATGACCAGTTCTATTATCGGGTAACATTTAAGTTTCATATTTGACAACAATATTTAAACCTCAATGTCTATACGTGTTAGGAGGGTCTAAGTTTTTTTAGGATTACCTTATGCGCGGGCGGCGGTAAATGTGGCGCTGTTGGTGGACCAGCACCGGGAAATAGAAGGCCCCCAGCGCCTAACAACGCACCGGCGCCCCCAACACCATGTGGTAGTGACGCTGAGGCGTGGATCTGTTGCTGCAACCAACGCTACTATCAAACACTGATACCGACCAACTTAAATAATCTAGAGATTCAGAAACGAGACTTCCGTATGACGAAATCCAATACATTTTTCAGGACTTATCGCCCATTCGTTTCTGAATCTTGATGAGTAAACAATTATTCACTTCACAAGATCTCTGATATTTCTTCACCCAAAGTGTAAACCAAGTCTAAACTCTAACGGTGTGTGCCCCCTACATTGTACCATGAACGTGCAATAAGACGGAAATGAGAACAGTCTGGAGTTAATAATAAGAATATTAAAGCATTGTGTAACGGATTTGGTGACCGTAGCATATGCGTATAATGCGCGGATGATACCCGTGTCATTATTGCGTGGATATTTGTGCAGAAATTATATTTTTATCCTCAATGCTCCGCGCATGATACGTTTCAAGTGGTAGGTGGCTGAACGGGCATAATTGTGTACTCAAGATTCTATACATTTTTGTCTAACACAGTCCTAGCACGGTCATGGTACTCGGGGTAGAGGGCGGACTTCTTTACAACTGACTTGTAATTTGATGTTTAACTAGCTAACATGAACTGTTTAAGAACTTTTGAATGTATGTTCGTGATAGATGTTCTATTAAGATCCTCCCACACGACGTGCCGGTGACTATACTAATTAGTGTTGTTCTGTATGAGAAATTTATATAAATATTCCTGTTCGTATCCCAAAAGAGCAAATTCCTTTGTCTCTTTTACACACAAGAGACAGAAAGAGACAAAAGATTATTTTAGTTAGTACCATAAGACTGGGTTTTATAAGGCGGTTATTCGCGAGCCAGTTTAGGATACGGGAACTTATTTCGTCCTCGATTAAACGTAAACATAGATTATTTCTACAACTACTTGTTGATAGCAACAAAACATCTAAATCTATATAAAGCCATTCAAGTGCTCTGTGCTAAACTGCGTGAAGTGAATGGTGCTCGTGTTAAATGGAATGTGAAGTAAGAAAACAGTTTTATGAGTGTGTCGATATCAAATAGAAATGGTTATATTAATGACCGAGATATTGATTTAATACCGCCATTAAAACGCAATCGCAATGAATAAGTTAGTGTGCACGGTGTTGCTAGTTAATCGATATAGTACTTCTTTGATTTCATTGACATTGATTCATATAGGTAACACAATGTACACTTATGAACGTTAAAAATAACTATATATAATGCTTCTAATTTTACATTAATTACTGCCAGTTCTCAAATCAACGGCGTAGAACGGAAGAGAAGAACTGGCAATAAACTCTCCGCCACTCTTATTAATCGCCAAGTTTTTTGTTTTACACAACGTTTGTAAGGAGCTGCAACCATTACACCATGTTCCACATGACATCTTAAGTAATTATTATAAGAAAATAAATTAAAAACAAAGATTTGTCTCTATCAGCAGGAGGCATGGTGAAATAGGAGCACGCACAATTACATTCTCGTGGGAACAACACGCAAAGCTAAAAACGTTAGCTTACGATAACGTCAAATATATGGACAACTGATATCTTATTGACAAGATTTTAATCATCAATTAGGTGGCAAGTATTTTTATCACCATTAGTAGCAAAAAAATCCAACCTGCCAATAATACACATCAATTGAAAAGATTAATATGTACTGATTTACGGAAAAATAAGTGCCATTTAACGCAGATAAACATGATAATGAAAAATTAAAATCAAGATAATGGACGCATGTGATTTAAATACTTATCACTAGATAATACTGACAAAGTTTTACATCAATCTGAAGTCTGCAAAAGTAACATTTAATAGTGAATCAAAATTAAATATTAATTAATTTTTAAATCGACTTCTCAATGTCTTTATTACATTTATGCAAAATCTAGTATATTTTAACATTCTCGTCTGTATTTTATATGAGATAAAAATATCTACTATTGCGATAAACCGCCTGGGGTTTAGTCCAGAGGCATAGAACACACACTATATATACGAACTAGAAAGAACTAGTCGTACTATTATTTCTAAAACCCATAACAATAGATCCGGTACAAATAAGTATTTTTATTTAATTTAAAGGCGAAAATAGAATTTTACTTAGGTTTTGTAAATATTATATGATTTATTACTGGGTAATATAATTGTATTCTGGCACTTATTTCTTAGTTTCAATGCGTTATCTTCGCCTCGAAGGGCCTATTAATATAAGAGCTAGACTACAGGTAAGATTGTGAATTGAGACTTTGACTTCCTGCAAAATCCAATACAACCTTTTACCCTACGATTTCTATAATTGTTCCATAATAAATAAATAATGAGTTTTGTATGAAAAGGCAGTTCATTGCATAAATCTAGCAACACAAAGGGTTAATCACAAACGAAAACCAAGCATTTTAACTAACTTACAAGCAGTTGCTGCAATCCCTGCTGTTGTTGTTGCTGCGGACAACATTTAAGAAAAGTCTTTATTAATTTTAACAATTTCTCCACTAACATATCGTAAGATTTCTACGAAAACTCATCAAGAATATTGGTATTACTTTCCGTCAATAACATAAGAAAGTCTTTGGAAGTTTTATACCAAATACCCAATAAAGAGTCTTTAGGTTTAGTAATTATTTTGTTTGTATTCTCAAGGATACGAACAAAAAACTTACCCCTATAATAGCATTAAGTTCAGACATAGTGACCTGCTTAGCTCTCTCAACGGCGGAGGCAACTTGCTGTTGGTGTTCTTGTGCGAGAAATGGCAGAACCTGTCCTATGATTGCGCTCAACCTCTTTGCTATCTCTGTCTGAAAATACAAAATGACTTAAAACAACACTAACTTTGTGTAGAATGGAAATATGAATACAAGTTTGTCACCATCAAAAGCTTGCATGAGCTTTATTCTAAACTACAAATATTTAAACAAAACAACATAAGACTTTTAATATTTTTGTATTAGGTATCAAGATGATTAATTAAACACCGCTGCAACCTTAAAATTAATGACAACACGCACTCAATTCAAGAGCTCTAAGATTTGGATCTTCATGTACTAAATGTACAATTGGTAATACAAATAATTATTTTCTTTGTATGAAAACTAACCATTCTAATTACTCACTTACAAATCATACTTTTTTATAAGACAATGTATATGTGAACAAAGTAACAATAGCATGCAATCAAGTACAAATGTTATAATCGTCTAGAGCCATTAAACAAGTTCCTTGCTAATTATCAAGAAACTATTTGAAAATAATTCTTCTTGGTTTACAAAATATATATACTATATGTTATATTAAATTAATAAGATTGTATTTATCTGTTCTTTATTTTAAATGTACCAGAAATATACATATATTGTTTGAATGACTTAAACATAGTATTACCAGTTTAAAAGACATCTGTCAAAAATAGTAATAATTGTTGTATAAAATTTATAACACAAAGCTCTCATTTCATATACTATTCAGCCACAATTTGATTATATTTCTTAGTTAGAATGATAATTTAGGTAAAGGGAATAACACAAAATGTACATACTTGCTTGTGCATTTCAACATTAAGGCCGTAGGACATCTCATAATACTGAAAAGGAAGAGAAACATTTAATTATAAGAAATATTTAAAAAATTATAAAACAATTTATATTTAGATACACACCATTACATAATGCCTTTGCATCTCAGTTTTTTCACTAGCTAGTTTTTCACATTCTAATTTTAACCTGTAAATATAAAAAGATAATAAACTTTTTCTGATTAACATACTACACTAAATGTTAGTTTTATCACTCTGAACATGATCAACAGTGGTGGACACAACACCAATAATCTTAAGTAAATACTAGCTTTGCTTTAGCATGACCATATGCTTCAAATTAAAAAAAACAACATTGGGCCGTTGCTCCCTTAAAAATTACCAATGTTTTTTTATTGTAACATCAGCTAACAAAAATTCTAACCACAATATTTAATTAACATTTTTTTTAAATAAAGATTAATGTAACAGGTAAATGAGTAGCACATTACTCACGTGTGATATTGTGCTTGTAAAAAATTAAATTCCTCTTTTATTCTTTCTAAAGTATCTGCTATTGTAAACTTTAATTGTCCGGCTGATGGTTGTGGGCCCTGCAATTAAACAACAACATAATGGGAAACAGTAAAACATATACATAAGCACATATATATATATATAATTATATATGTGATTTCAATTATGATATTGCTAACATTAATCAAAGTTTCCACTGATTGATTAATAAGTACCTAAGTAAATTAAGTAGGAAAAAATGAGTTTCGAAACGAATTTTGAAAAGCACTGAATCAGAACTTGTAATGTTGTATACATTAAAAATACAAACCCGAACAGCAGCGGCCTGATGCCGCGCAGGTGTAGGATACATGTTAATATCAAAAACACGCAATTAATATACACATATAATTTAATGTCTTAACTCGTAAAACACTGTGCAAACTGTGGGATCAGCGTCATTTCCCTTAACCTATGCTATAACACATTAAACAGTTTTCCGTAAGAACACACTAAGCACAATGATATGCACAAACTTTTAATAAAAACTTTCACAATAAAAATCATTATCTCAACATTTGTGAATTACCAAATATCGGCTAAGCACTTGCTTTATAATATTACACACAATTTAATCGATACAATTGTGTGCATTCATATTACCAGGGCTAATTTTTAACAAGAATATTTGGAAAATAGCTGATAAATTACTCCTCCATAAATCCACGCCGCAATTTTTTAACTGTCACTCATGCATCATTCACAAACGTTTACAAATCATATTTAAAGGCATTGTGTCATATGTCAATGCGTTTCGCTCGCTTGCATATGTCAATGTCTTATTATTATCTTGGGATGTCAAACAATAACAGATTATTCTAAATATCTTAAATTTTTCCTACTTAATTTTAATTATTAATTTTAGAATCTAATTCTTGAATTTAGTTGTTTTGATTTTTTTAGAACAATAATGACAATTATTAATAATCCTGAAAAAAGTAAAGTGTAATTATAATAATAACAAACTTGGGTAAATAAAGTAAATTCACAGTGTCATTAAAGAGTGCTTGGTAAAATTAAAGTTGAAATGTTCAATACAAAAAACTTATGATATTTATTTACATAAACTATTTTATTTTTATTGAATTTATCCGAATAATATAACAGGTTTTAAAACTACCTGTAAAATGACTGTAATGATGATTAAAATTTTCAAATTTGACTGTACATATTCTATTACTTCAATAAAAACGAATTGTTAAAGAGAAATTATAAGTGTATATTATGTACACTTATGTGTTCCAGATTTTTATAAACCATAAAAATAATAAAATAATCTGACGATCGGTATACGATGTTTATTAACTATAAAACAAACTCATCTTTTAATATATTCGTACTAAACAAATGACATATAAAATAGAACATATATATATTAATAATAATAATTTAGTAGAGAAATAACTTTATTAAATTTAGTACTCAATCTTCTTCTCTACTATTTCTATGCTATAATTAGTTAGTTTATAAATTCATGTAAAATGCTGGCAACACTTATAATAACGTTTATTATAGCATTTGTTATTTAGTTTAGCAATAAGCAAATCATTTTGAATTTTGTTGGCAGATTGTAGACGTCGCGTAGCTGCCACTGCCCGATATTGAAATTAGTGCAGTGGTTCGTATTGGCGGAGTGTTTGAGATTTTCATTCTGGTTCGTTTGTTTATCACGTTATACGTAGTATGTTCCAATGATTATATTTAGAAGAAAGTGCTGTTCCTAAAGTGATATTACGTTGGATGAGTTTTACGTTGCAAAGAGAACCATCATGGATTTCAAATCAGCCGTTTTGAACACATATAATGCTGCGCGAGACGGAAATCTAACACGTTTAAAAGTAAGTATTCATTAACATGTCTTATAATCATATAATAAAATGTAAAGTATATGATCTTGTAGATGTATATATGAGAACATTCCATTAATAACTCGCTAGTAAAATTTACCAATCCCTACATATGTATGTAAACAAGTGTATGTCAGATGTTTAAAAATACAAGCAATAAATATTATTTTTTAGTATCTTGGAATGTAAATAAATTAAATCTGTATGATGTACCTGCATGCACTTTCACATATTCATAAATATGTTATAAGCTGTAACCTGAATGCAGCTCACCACATGTTAGGATCAAGTTATTATTTTTGTTCCTTGAAAGTAATTTAATAAAAACAAACACAATGTAGGTATTAATATATTCAATAAATAATATGATTAAAAGTATTTTCAGTAAAATTAGAAATAGTCAGATTATGAAAATGTTTACATCATGATTGAAAGGGTAGTAATGTTTAAACTATAAGTTGCACCTATGTGTGCACCTAAGTGTGCCAACTGCCAAGTGTAAACTGTAAGCTTTTTAAACTAGGTTAACTGCATTGACACACACAATCAACTCTACCAGAACTTCCTTTTGAACTCTACTCTTATTTGAAAATTAGGTCATCTATTGGACAAAAAATTTCCTCTATGTTAACACAATCTAACAACATTTATAGTACAATACAAACCTTTTTATCTGATATAAACTCGAATTTCTATCATTGTTTATGTAACTTAATGTTTTTAATCCATGATTTGCAACAGTCTTTTGGTGAACTGCTGTAAAAAGTATTTATATTGCAAAAATCATGCTATAAATTTGTGTTTATATCTGTTAAAGAAAGTTTATTTAAATAACTTTTCATTAAAAAATAGCTAGATCACCTTTATATTACTAAAGAAAAATTGATTGTGTATGCCATGATTGCACCATAATAATTTCTTATTTTTTTAATCAATTTTATACAAATCCTTGTTGCATACAAGAAAGAACACGCTGTTCTTGAAATGCCATATAGCAGTCAACACTTTGAACTTAAAATAGTATGTACAGTCATTGCAGATGTGCTACCATTTTAGTATCATAAGTGTACAATTATAACATTCACATTATACAACGTCTATTTTGTGCAGTAAAGAAAGAAATTTGATGTGTTTTATCCCTATAAATATAAAGATGTTATTATCAAATAATAAGTTGTAAAATTCGTAATAATATTTACTAATTTTAAAGTAAAATAAATTTTTATCATTATAAATAATAATGTTTATAAGTAATGCCATAGAATTAACTTCATGTATACACTATATAGTATGAATTAATTTAACATAAAACCAAATGATAAAACTTCTTCAAACATTCTAACTACCCGCATCCATTTACTAATAATAAATCTAGCCTCTCTTGTGAACTTCAATGGAGTATAATTAATTCCACCTTCAAAGAGACCTATATTAGATACTATCTCATAAATGTATATAACACTGTTATACACAATAAACTGAGTAGCTTATGTTACTAAGCAATTTCAGTTGAACTGAATTATCTCAATAAAATCTGAATTAATTATACAATGACCAGTATTGGTGGGTAATCATCTCAGAAGTACTTGATTTATTGATTTAGACAGCTGTTGGAATGGAAGACAAACATTTATCTTTGATAGAATTTATGAAAAACTTTTATCTTTATTTGTAGATAGCAGGTACCAGAATTATCTATTTGTCTTTAAAATAATGATGAAACACAGTTTATATGTCTACACGGGTTAAGGGAGTTCACTAATATTTATAAATATATTTAGTTTGAATGTTGCTAAGCTACTTTAAATATAATTATGCAATGCCCAATGTTGTAACTGTACAAGCACATTTCGGCAACGCGATTACGATATCTGGGACGAAGGCGAATTTAGCAACCTAATTTTTTATCGATAAGCTAAAATCACTTGTATCAATATCGATACATATAAATACTGATTCTATACTAACATTGTCAGAACTAATTTAGTTTTCTTATAATTTAACTTTATTAAATCAAAGATGATACCTTACAGTATTGAGATTTTCAGTTTAAGTTGTCTTATCTTCTATCAAATCGTCTGCTCTTGGTATCTTATTAAATTTTTTGTTGTTAGTTATCATGTAAAAGATACCTGATTGTAATGTACACTATATTATTAATAATGTTGGCTTGGTTTACATTATTCAATGAGCAATGAACGAAAATGTTAAAATATTCTATCTGTACTAAAAACAAGTAATTTCACGATCTCAAGAACCGATCTAACAGGTTCCTATGGCAACTATGATAATTGAATGTAATGTCTTTAATTTCCAGTATAATTATGCCGACACCCATTTTAGGGTTTACTTTGTACAGGCGACTCGCGTTCCACAATGCTAGTGTTTTTTGCGATCACTATTGAGAAGCGATACTAAATCTTCTTTAATAATATTATTTGATTTTTGTACACAATATTAAATATATAAATTATGCGGTGTGTGTATTGATAAAAAGATAAAATAAAATTTAATATTTAAATGAGGAATCAAAGTGCCTTTAAAGGAAAAGTTGTATCTGATTAATGTATTAAATTACTCAATTGTAATTGCAATGTATTAAATAGGATTACTCCCAATATAAACGGAGAAGAGTTAGAGTAAAGATATATATTTCTTATTCCATTATTAGGGTGAAACCCACATCTTGTTAGAATCTAACATCAAAGCCTTAATTTTTTTTATATATATTACTTATTTTTTACGGAATAATAACGGTTGTGTGATATATGTAGTATGAAAAATATATCCGAAGCTAATATTTAAAACTTTACTCCATATACATATATATGTACATATCTTGGCTAGGAAATGCGCTTTCTGTAAAAATTATAGTAGACTCGTAGTAACAACGATTTGTTTAGGAGCATTTAGCCGATTGCGACTTATTTCCTATGAAACCTAAAACGTCACTCAAGTTAGTTGTTCCTTAGTTAGCTAATAAATTACTACTTATTAATGTTGATATTTTACGCACGCGGAAGTCACGATTATATTATTATGCCATTTATATACCTATGTAATAGACGAATAGAATAGACGCCATAAATTTTGTTTTTGTTATTTATTTTTGTTTGAATAAATAAGGAAAAGACGTTTCTGAATAGGATTTAATGAATTTTAATAAATTGCAGAACTGTAATTACTGCTAATTTCGGATTCCAGTATTAAACCATACTCAGTGATAAACCAAAAGTACAGAGGTGAATAAGGAAATTTTGTCCTAGTTTAAGTTTCTGTTAGCATTTACTAGCTGTCTTTGTCACCTGCTTCTAGATGTTCCAAAGTCTTGGATATGGTTGTACAGTGCCAGCCGAGAGGTTCTTTCTAAGCTATAGAAAGGAGACTGTGCGGCTGAAAGATGTATGTATCAATACGTCCTAGGTCTAGGGTGGGAATTAAGTGGTGTGGAATTCCTTTGCCCCGG